GAGAGAGAGAGAGAGAGAGAGAGAGAGAGAGAGAGAGAGAGAGAGACAGAAGTGCAAGTGCCTCTGTCTCTGTCTCTCTGTCTCTCTCTCTCATGGGACTTGCCGGAGGGCCGTGGGAGCGCCGCATTTATATAGAGCAGGGAGGGCTGCTCGAGGGCCGGATTAAACCAGGCCGCGGGCCGCAAATGGCCCGCGGGCCGGACTTTGAACATGTCTGGTTTAATAGCTTAAATAATATTTTAAGGCTGCTTTTGTCTTTACTGTGTCTTTATTTTTAATTTCTGTTTTACACTGTTCAGGGATATGTAAGGATATTTGTAAATGTTACACATAGGCATTGTAGAGTTCCTGGTGCTCTCTGAGTTTGGTGATTTGCAGATGTTTCATTGCCCAGTTAGAGAGAATCATCAGTATGGGTGATGATGATGTTACCTACGTGTCTAATGAAACATCTGCAAGCAAACAGCTAAGCTCAGAGAGCGTCAAGACCTCAACAGTTCAACAGTGAGGTATATGTATTCCCTTTTGCTGGAGACAGACATGGATCCTCACCTCACTTTGTCAATTTTAGTGTTCATTAATCAACCTTGTTTCTTATAGATATAAGGCTGTTTGGCTCATCTTTTTCATACTTGGTCTTGGGACACTCTTGCCATGGAACTTTTTCATGACCGCTACAGCGGTAAGTTAAGGATGTATGCGCATAATTTGTACCAGATTCCAGACCAAGGAACTGCCCATACCACTGATTCTCAGATTGTATGGTTCCTATAAGATTATATTAAAAGATGCAAAACCTTACATTGATCGTCGTTGAAAACACAGTACAGGTAGTCCTTGATTTTCAGCCATTTGTTTAATGACCATTTGAAATTAAAATGGCACTGGAAAAAGATTTTTTTATGACCATTTTTCACATTTATGACCATTGCGGCATCTCCATGGTCATATGATCAAAATCCAGATGCTTGGCAACTGGTTTGTATTTATGATGGCTGCAGTGTCCTGGGATCGTGTGATCACCTTTTGCAAACTTCTGACAAGCAATGGGGAAGCCAGTTTCACTTAACAACTGCAGTGATTCACTTACCAATTGTGGCAAGAAAGGGCATTAAAATGGGGCAAAATTCACTTAACAACTGTCTTACTTAGCAACAGAAATTTTGGGCTCAATTGTGTTTGTAAGTCAAGGACTACCTCTAATCCTTTTCACTTTAATGGGAGTTCAGTGCAGTTAACCTACTCTCTGTTACTCTATTCAATTTATGTAACTGATCATTTTTAGCCCATTTTCATAAAGATTAAAAGTACTGGAGAAATGTGACTATTTTATACTTGCACACAAAAGGCAGAATTCTTCTGTGTGAACTACTTAGGAAATAAGAGAAAAGTGTTAGATGTTGGAATTGATTTCCTTCATTGGTTTGTCTGACCAATTGTTTATTTGTTTTCTGTAGTACTTCACCAACCGCCTCAACATATCATCCTTTGATTCCTATGCTAATGTGAGTATCATAGGAAAAGAGATAGTTTCTCCCAAACATTTGCTGTCACTAATCAACCAAGTGAATTCAAGGGGGATGTTTGTGAATTGTGTGAAGCAGTTGTGCTTAATCTAGAATTCCTCCATTAGGGTAGGTAATTGGAATGGGTCAGTGGTTCCAAGCCATACACTTTGGTAGTTGCAAGGTGGACTAGGCTTTCAAACAGTATAAGTATCTTGCATTGTATAACTATTGAGAAGGGGAGCTTTGGTTCCTTATTTTTTTGCCCATATATGATTAGTTACCTCTTCCTGAGGTAACTCATTGTTCTGGAATTTTCTGCTGCTACTCTACCGCACTGCATTTGAGAAATGGAAGCTACAGAAAAACATGCCAAAGTGCAACACTACTGTGTCAAAAAAGTTGATTACTTCTATCTATGTCCCAAAGATTTATATTCCTTGGAGACAGCTGGTGGCCTCAACAATTCTCTAAAAGTATACAAATGATCAGCTGTCTGCAAGGAATATAAATCCTTCCATTCCCTACCATCCAGTCAGAGCTGAAGAAGCTTCTTGGATGAGAAGCAAAATGTCTTCAAAGAAAATCAAGGAAGCCCATTGCCTCTTGAAAAAGCACCTTTGGGACAACCATGACCTGGATGACTGAGAATCTCCATAGACATACTTCTATCTATGAGGCTGAGGAAAAGGAGAGTCAGTAAATATACATAAAACAATTCTGAACATAACAGAAAAAGATTCCATTAACTTTTAAGTAGGAAAAAAAGTGTGCCAGAAGATTCTTGGAAAACATTCCAAAATGTTGGGAAAGATTCCATTGTGGCATAAAGTAAAAGCAATTTTTTTTGTTTTTTTTTCCTAAATGTTGTAGTTCCTTTTGTTCATGAGATAGGTGCAAGCATGTTTCTTTAGTTTACACACGTTTGCCACAGTGCGTAATAAATTTTATTATTTATTATTTATTTATATCACAGTGTGATATAAATTTTAAAATAATAGTTGTTAAAATTATTGTCAATAAAAAAGTTTGAAAAGGATATATTGCGGTATCTGGAGAATACAAGAGAAATAAATGGCAGAAATCACAGAAGAAAAAGAAGTAGAATGACTGTGGCAAAAGAAGGCAAATATAGTACCAATAAGTAGGTGCCTTGGGGGCAATCCCTAAACATCTGGAGCACTACTTGAACACCATCAGCAATGACAAAATTACCAATAGTCAATTGCAAAAGGTAGCTTTACTTGGAAGAACTTACATCTTGCAACAATACTGCCTACAACATCTCCATTTCTTAGTTCCTTGGGAAGGGCTCAATAGATAGATAGAAATGCCACATCTAATCTAATTGGCTAACTATGAGACCAACCATCATAATAATAATGATAATACCCCTTTCTAATTACTTGCAGGACTCTTACAATCATACTAATGTGAATGTCACGGAGAAGAAGAACGTTTCTCTCTCAAACCTGCCATCCATATTTAATAATGTGATGACATTATGTGCCATGTTGCCTCTACTCATCTTCACCTGCCTTAACTCTTTTATCCACCAGAGGTATGATTTTTATAGATTTTCCGAAATGAAAATTTTAGACTTCAATTGCTCTGAGTCCTTTGATTTCCAGCATATTGGCAGCATTCAGACTAGGTCATTTTGAGCTTCTCAGTGGGAAAAGAACTTTATTTTCTGTTCTGCAAAGTTGGATCAGTTTTAGATATTTATGATGCTATCCAAGCATTTTAATTATTTCCATATAGTGATCCAGAACAGTTTTAGGAGCATAGTACCTAAAAGCAAAAATAAATTGTTTCATTTTGCTGTATTGTCTTTAGGTTTTTGAAGTACATAATTATTTCAGTTTTACTACATGTTACTTTTGTTTTATACAGATGGAAGCAACTGCTTATATCATTACTGAACCATAATGCAACAGATAATTTATACATACATAAAATCTCTTCATTTATGTTCACAAATTCAACATAGTCTAGATAGCTTCCCAACCTGAATGTTTCTAGATGTTTGAACTTTAACTCCTTGAAGCAGGATCTCTGTTGAACATTCTGAGAAATGAAGACTACCCATTTGAAGGATGCACAGGTTGGGAAAAGCTATTTCAGATTGTGATTACACATCTAAAAACAGATTATCCATTGATTGAAGTTTTATCTCAATAGAACGAATTGGATTTTATTATGATTTTAGAAAGTCAGGGGTTTTTTATCTTTATCTTTTTCCATTTATTAGGATCCCTCAGCAAATACGGATCATATCTAGTTTGGCTGCCATCTTCTTGGTCTTCATGGTAACAGCAATCCTAGTCAAGGTCCCAATGGAGCCTTTGCCTTTTTTCATCATTACCATGGTCAAGATAGTTCTCATCAATTGTAAGTGAAGTTCTGTTGTGTGTATATAAATTTATGAATTATTAAAGTGGCCACACTTTTCCCATTCTTACAGGTATATACAGTATATACACATATAGATAAACACATTCTGTCTCTGACGGGCAGTATTTCACCCTTACCTGTGTTTGAGAATCTAAGCAGTTTTTAGCATTGAGCACTCTGTCAGGGTGTTGAAGTGGGTAGAATGTAATTCTTGCAGATCCAAATTTTGCCAGTGGGAGAATGTGCAAGACCAGATAGAAACATTTCCCATCCATGCTCAATATAATGTGCAAACTATAGTGATGTAAGCCAGAGGTCTCCAACCTTTCTCAGTTGGCGGACCGGAGGGAAAGGGAGGGGGAAGCATTTTACGTGTGCGCATGCATGACATACAAACGGGGCCAAGAGCACGTGTAACGCAAACAGGGCAGTGTTAGCGTCCGCATGATACTTGCTAGCACCGCCCCATTTTCGCTGCATGGGCACTAGCAGTGCCCCAATTTCACTGCACTGCTCCTTGTTTTTGCACCGTACCTGGTTTTAGCGTCGCAAGGTGCTCCGTTTGCATAGCTGCAATGCCCTGCTTTCACGGCGCTAGCACGAATGGGGGTGAGTGGGCACACACATGCATGCACTGGCCAGCCTGTTCCGCAGCCCGGTGGCTAGCAAGCCACAGCCCGGTAGTGGGCCACGGACCGCAGCTTGGGGACCCCTGATGCAAGCTACATCCTGCCCTTCAGCTTTGGGTTCATTTTATAGTGCTTACTTTTTGTGGATAAGACCTATTTACAATTACCTTTTAAATGTTTTTTTTCTTCTTTTTTGACAGCCTTTGGGGCCATTCTTCAAGGCAGCATTTTTGGATTGGCAGGGCTCCTTCCTGCCAGTTACACGGCACCTATTATGAGTGGGCAGGGCCTCGCAGGGACATTCGCAGCAGTAGCAATGATCTGTACTATTGCCAGTGAGTATTACATATTGCTTGTTTTGGTTTATGCTACACCTTTCAGCCTATAAAGCAGCCAAGGCCGGGGTATTCATTATCTCTCTCTGTATTATTGATGTACAGCTGTACATCATTTACAGGCATCCTTTGATATTTCAGAGAGCAAGAGGTTTGCTCATAAGCCCCCCATCATCAAAGAAAGAGTCACCACTTTTCTCTAAATCTTTTTCAGCTGGTTCCAGACTAGAAGAAAAAAGTGCCTTTGGTTACTTCATTACTGCCTGTGTTGTGATTCTGATAGCAATTGGCTCCTATATCATGTTGCCTCGTCTGGTAAATATGTTTTTTCTGGAAATAGCCTTGGGTATGCTGAGGTAGTGGGCAAGTGAGGGAGTCTCCTGACATGCAAGCCCCCTTGTGCAAAGAGAGCTGGGCTCTTCATTCAGTCCTCAATAATAGGTATGAATAAGTCAGAAGATACCCAGCTTGTTTCAGAAGAGTTCCCATTGTCCAGCCACAAGCAGTTTTTTTGACCCCTGTTTCATTTTCATTCTACACCGCCTGCATAGTATCTTAATATTTCCCCAGGATTTTTTCTGCTTTTATTCGATGAAGAATAAGAGAGAATATGCAACTTCTGTGACTCAGGCTGAGATGGAAACAAAAGTTGATCTCATCAAGAAAGGTAAAAACTTGGGTATGGAAAGAAGGGAAATGTATTCATGACCATAAATGCAGGGTGAAAAATGGTATATCAGATATTCCCAGGTTACAAATAATATTGCAACCAATGTTAAGGGATGCTGGAAACCGTAAATCAGGCATATATCAAAGCTTAAAAGTAGCAAATCTCTTAATTTAATACATGTGGGGTCCTCATCAGAACCAAAAGGCAATTAAAAAAACATAGCCTATTTTTATTGTCTTCTAATTTCTTCTCAAGTTAGCAAGTTACAATAAAACCCATGGTTGTCATCCGATGGCCTAGCATGAGATTTCTTATACAATTTTCTAGTGGTAATAGTTTCATCTAAGGCTCTCCAGAATAACCAGTGGCCAGCACCCACTGAGCAATTTTTTATTTTCTAGCCTTTGCTATTGTCTTTCAAAGCTTGTATGTGAGAAGAGATGTACTGATCTTTAAATACCCACCAGACTAGAAGGCCAGTGATTAAAAAAATGAACTCTTGTTTATTTAGGCAATCTCTCAAAAACACATTTTTAGAAAAACAATTTACTGAAATGCCATAATGGGTTTTACAACCTGTCTGTTCTCATTAAATTTCCCTCATATTCTCCACTGAACCAAATGTTCCATTCTGATTTCTGCTGCCAACAATTCTAAACATTTTTTTCATATGCATTTATATACAAAACAGCAAGGACTAAAATGTAACAGGCAACAGTGACTGAAACAGTTCCATGCAGATAAAAGCACTTTAAAATAGCAGTTAGAAGCATTTAAGAAACCTCTGCACAGAAAACATCTTGGCCTTTCACCAGATTGATTCCTGGCCAGCGTCTCTGGAAAGAACATTTCACGACTGAGGGCTATTCAAAGTCACTTGCAGTTCAGAATGTAAAGGTGCTTGGAGCACAAATCTCACTGACACCTAAGACGCGGGCAGGAATATAGGATAGGAGGCTCTTCTTCAGATACTGTGGCCCTGAATTATGAAGCTTTAAAGAATAAAATTAACATTTTAAATTGGGTACAGTACTGGAATGGGGCACAGTACTGGAATGGGGCATAGTACTGGTTCAATAATAAAGTGCAGACCTAGTTTCTGCAAAATATATGTATTAAAAGTTTGTTTTGTCAAACTTGTCCTTTTCATCTGTCTACAGATGTGGTTAATGGTGTTGAACGAAATCACTCTGTGAATGGAGATTCCCTTCCCGCCAGACACACATCTTCAGTCCTTGGCATCTTTAAAAAGGTAAGTGGCCTATGGATTGGGCCTAGGTGTGTGTGGGGGGGGGGGTTCACACCCTAATATTCTGTTTCTTTCTTTGTTTAAAATTGTTATCTGGAATTCTATGATTGTATTTGCCTTTGCAAATACAATCATAGGGAGCGCGATGGCTCAGTGGTTAAAGATGCTGAGCTTGTCAGCTGGAAAACTGACAGCCCAGCTTCAAGACCTGAGCACCGCACAACAGGGTGAGCTCTCATCCCTGCCCCAGTTTCTGCCCACGTATCAGTTTGAAAGCATGCAAATGTGAATAGATTAATAGGTACCACAGCATTCCATGAGCCTCTGGTATATAGCCATGCTGGCCACATTACCATCGGAAATGTCTTCAGACAATGCTGGTTCCCTTGGTTAAGAAATGGAGATGAGCATTGCGCCCTAGAGTCCAACATGACTCGTTAGGGAAACATTTACCTATTTGTCTTTGCATATATGTTCTCTTTTCTAGATATGGGTTATGGCTGTTTCTGTCTGCTTAGTTTTCACTGTTACAATTGGAGTCTTCCCAACTATCACTGTTGCAGTAAGGCCAACTATTGGACAAAATACACTTTGGGGTAAGCTAAACTTGGTTCTTAGAAGTGATTAAGATACACAATGATGAAACAGTTTGTGAATCTTTTAGAACAGGGGTCTTCAAACTTGGCAACTTTAAGACTTGTGGACTTCAACTCCCAGAATTCCTCAGCCTGCTGAACAATTCTGGGAGTTGAAATCCACAAGTCTTAAAATTGCCAAGTTTGAAGACCACTGTTTTAGAACTATCTGTAATCCTGCAATCCTATGACAGTGTAATCTGAACTCCATCTAAATCCCACAAAACAAAAAACAAACAAAGCAAGACATTTATGTAACTGCTTCATTTCATTGACGTTTTGGGGTTGAATTCTTGCAACATTTCATATCATACCATTTCAGTTGGGTCATGTCAGGATTTTGACTCATCCATTCCAAAACATGAAATTTCTTCTGCTTCATCTAGCCATTCTGTTCTAGATGTACAGTATTTATGTGTTGCTTAAAATTAATGTTGTGCTGCCCACATTTAAGCTTCAGTTCATGGACAGGCAATCTGATATTTCCTGAATAGTTTGTTAATACAATCCAAAATCCATTGTTGGCATCTATAATTGTGATCCATCTAGATCCTGAGGCTGCAAAGTTGGTCCTAACCATGATACTCTCATGGTTTCCTTCGCAGTTGAGATGAAATACTTCTATTTTCATTTTCTCCAACTGTCATGTTTCTAAATAATGAAAATTCCACTTTCCATCTCATGTGCCCACAGCATATTGTTTCAATAGCCAGCTGACTTATCCAGGTGGTCTTAGTATCATTCTATGCATACCACTTTGTCTTAATTTATCTAGAATCTTAGAATCTGTTAATAGAAGCTACTGTATATGAAGTTCAGATCACATTGTAAGTCACAGAACGGCAAGATTACAGAGATGTGCAGAGTTCACAAAAGGTTTCTCTTGTAAGCCAAACTTCCTCTGGATCAGTTTACAGAAAGTCTCCTGGCAGTCTGCTTAGCTTTAACTTTATTTGCCATCTGCATTTGTAGGAGTTTTGCTATGAGTAAAGATGATTAAGTATGGGCGTATTTAGACTGGAGAGAGTGGGAAGACCTGGAAGAGAAGGATAGGGTGTGGGACAAAGTAGTTAGGAAAATACTGAAAACTAAATAAACCCTTTCTATTTAGTTTTCCATATCCGATTAAGACACAATTTGTTTGTTTTCCTGTTTGGGGGTGTTGCTCTTCCCACATCCACGTACATTTATGTCATTTATTATCCCACAATAGACTATATAGATACTTTATTGTTTATTTTATTTTATTTTGCACTCTCCAGTTCCACATATTTTACAGTGTACTGGTTCTTAATTCTAAGGAAGGATTTAATAAAGAATTAAACATCATAATCACTGTATTACATTAATTGAGCATTGTGATGATGGACTCAAATAGACTAGAGAGGTAATAATAATCCAGACTAGAATTGAAGAAGAATGAGGATTGGTATAAACCTGTTAGAAAAAAATCCATGTTGAGAAATTATGGATTCACACTTCTTTTTGAAGACAGAGCAGGCTTTGAAGATCAGATCAACCTTTCTAAAACAGATCAAACCAAAAGGAAAGTTAAAAAGGAATTCTTAGACTACTCAGATCTGTATGTAAGGTGCTGTTTTAGTCTCATGTCTATCCTCAGATTCTTCTCCTTCATCAGACCTAAATTGCAAACTCGGACTTCAGGATTCTGATATGTTTACTTAGACCAGGGGTAGGCAACCTTGGCTCTTTTATGACTCGTGGACTTCAACTCCCAGAATTCCTGAGCCAGCCAAGCTGGCTCAGGAATTCTGGGAGTTGAAGTCCACGAGTCATAAAAGAGCCAAGGTTGCCTACCCCTGACTTAGACAAACAGATTCACAAGTGCTTCAGTAATGATTTGGTAAAAATCCCTCACAGCTTTCCGTGTCGTTATTATTATCGGTTTGAAGAAGATGGAAAAGAGGAGCTAACATGTACTATCTGCCTGAGTCCGGCTAAAGTCATCTCGATATTGCCCCATTGGACACTGCAGCAGACAAGAGTTCTAGTCCGGAGACTGACCACACTTCTCTATTATTCTCTCTTCAGTTGACTATTTCAGCCCAGTTGCTTGTTTCCTGATGTTTAACATCTTTGATTGGGCAGGAAGGAGCCTCACAGCTGTCTGTGTTTGGGTGAGTATAAGGAAACCAGGTTTTATGGTAGTCAGCTAATCCACCCTTCTTAAAGTTCAAATATGTCTTCTGAGCTAGGATCAAGAAAAAAGGTACTTTTGTGAAAAAGAGTTCTGAGGAAAAAATACAGAAGGATCTGAGGAAGAGTAGCATTTTTTGTTCAGTTTTTCCATAAATGGGGCAGTAAATCTCATAACTATATACATTGAAGAAGGCAAAATATTAAAGACAGTGATCCTGCTGATAAGCCTGGCTAAGTTGTTTAATGCTGCTTATTGCTCATGTATGTGATATAAAGAAAAGAAGACTGATCTGGCAATGGCATGGAAGTGCCATAAATAAAGAGGGTAGAATAGTCTGAGCTTACCTTTGAATAACAGATGCTAGTGGCCATTATATACTCATACTGCAACATAGCAGCAAAGAAGTAAGAAGAGGCAGGAGACAGATTTTCAAGTTGCGTACTAGTAAATAAAAAAAATCTAAATAATGAACGAATATTATTGGTGTAATTTTTGTACAATAAAGGTGCCACAAAAAGTCAACTGTGGACAAATCACCGGGAATCATAAAAAAGGAGCTTAAGGCGGGATGAGGGAGAAGGAAAATGCTTCAAGCAGGCAATGAAGAAAAATGATTAATGGAAAAAAATAAGTCTGACAGTCTAATTAACTAGACACATGAGTAACAATGGAAGAAAGAAAGAAAAATGCAGGGATGACACATTAGTTTGCTTTGTCCAAATAATGTGGTCTGTTTTTTTCCTCTATTGCCCACCTATTTGGTGAGGGCACTTCCACTTGTCTAGTCAGTAATCCCGCTCTCACTATTTACAATTTACAGTCTATCTGGCACAGCATAGGGATACTCAGTGGTTGAAGGGCTAAAAAAGAAATATTACAGAGCAACCTTGAATCTTGAATGACAATAAAGAAGCCGAAAACCTTTCTCACGGGGCCTGGGAGAAATATATTTCCCCACTATCACTTCAGCTCAGCATTTGAAACATTATGTCAGCCCTTACCTTTCAGGCCAATAGCTTCAGCATAATCTTAATAAGACTGCTTGATTAAGATTGATTAAGGTTGTCGGTGTACAACCTTGTACACTGTACACCTTCAGCAGGAAACCCATCCCAGTTCCAGTTTCTCCTTTTGTACTGGGATCAGTTATGTTGGCTGCTTTCCCTCCTGCCCAGCCTTCTCAGGCCTATCCCAGAGAGAAAGATGGGTGTGCACAAAATATGTTTACCAAATTTCTTTGTGGAAAGTTTGACTCCACAGAGATGATGGGTGGGTGGTTTGAGGCTGATGAGCCACACAAAACCTTCCATTCCTCGGTCTGGCACTTCTTCCTGCTGCTGCCTTCCCCCTGGCAAAAAATCTTATTTTGTACATCTGCCACAACACACATGGGAAATGAAGGGGAGAGAGGGCTTTTCATCCACTTTAACATCTAAAGCGAGTCCCTGATTATCCAGCTCCAAGGGGGAATAATGCTATTTTTGCAACCAAGCAAAACCTCAGAAAGTCTCATTCTGTTCTCAGATGTTTCATTGCCCTGTCAGTGAAAATTTCTGAGTTAAATTGGAACTAACAATCTAGGATATGTTTGGCTATGTCACTCTTGTTTCTGGAGAGAGACTTCTTTTTCCTTTTTGGGAGAGATTCAGATGTTTCATTGGGATGATAAGAATTATTTTATTTCTATTCCATTGAAGTAATTAGCCTTCCGATAAACATATATAAGGCACTGTGACATAATTTGGTCTGCACTCACAGAAAGATGCCGTTAGACCTGATAGATGACCCTAGTAGGAAGGCCAAATGGTATGTTACAGAAGAGGGAAAAACATTTCCAGTTTAGAGAGCAAGTGTGTATAGTTGAGGTAGCTGATTTTAAATAAAACATATAACCTTTATTTACAATCTTGCATGAAATGACGAGGTTGAAATACATTCTCTGTTAATAAAAAACTACATTTAGCCTGAATCAGACCATCTAGCCCCATGAGATCAATTCCATTCCTCTATAATCCTGCTACCCCAAAAGGTGTTAAATTATACATTTGTGCTCCTAGAGATTCGTAGCAGTTGTTAACAGATCTACTTTGACTGGCTATAAGTTTCCAAGACTTCCGGTAAAACAGGAACTTTCAAAATTCAAATCGTGTGTTTTATCAGTAAACTGTAGCCTTTCCCAACAGCTTACTGATGAAGCCTGGGCTCTGGATTCAGAAAGTGCTCCAGTTCTGATATATCCTGAAGAGAATTCTCTGAACTCACATTTAATGTTCAGATTTTAACTGCAGATTAACTTGATGCTAACTATACTAAAAATACTTTTTTGGCAGAATGAGCTGGAAGGAGACAGGTTAACAGGTTAACAAGTCCTCTGAAGTTCTGAGTAAGAAATGATCTAAGGGTTGTACTGNCAGAAAGTGCTCCAGTTCTGATATATCCTGAAGAGAATTCTCTGAACTCACATTTAATGTTCAGATTTTAACTGCAGATTAACTTGATGCTAACTATACTAAAAATACTTTTTTGGCAGAATGAGCTGGAAGGAGACAGGTTAACAGGTTAACAAGTCCTCTGAAGTTCTGAGTAAGAAATGATCTAAGGGTTGTACTGTCTCCTTGCCAAAGTTGAGGAAAGGCCATGTGTTTTTTTTTAGAGTTTCCTGTTTGTTTGGGTGAGTTTTACAACTGGGTTTTTTTAGGATTATTTTCCCCCTTCTGATTGGTTCATTATTGGTTTTGTGGAATGATTGCTCAGTGTTTTGTCTGACGGTGACCCAGAACCGAGGAACAGCTGTCCTTTCAATCAGATATTTTTGTTCAAATATGGAGGTGTGTGGCTGTGGAGGAGGTAGAACTGAAGGAAGCATATAATGAATGTGGAAAACAAGAAAGCCACAATGTCCAGTTCCCTGGTCTAAGCTCTGCGGAGCAGCCAACACAGCTTCTACTACAAAGGATATGGCCAGTGGTATTTTGGCTGGCAGACCCAGCTCTGGAGCCCTCTGAAGCCCATGAATGTATGAGGAAAAACTGTTTTTTGATTTATAATTTGAATAGTATACTGTACTAAAAGTACTTCATGAAACATAACACTGTGACTCAGTAAAAACAGATTAATAAACTAAATACAATAAATATTAGTATTTGCAAAAACTGTTCAAACATTTCCCTTCACATAGACACACACACACACACACACACACACACACACAGTTGAGAAAGAGAGAGATCTTTTGCAAAGGGAACTTTCAGATTATTTCTCACAAAGAAGAATAAAAGTATACAATTTAAGAGGACTTTTTAAAATATTCTTCCCTAAATATAATATGTTGGTTGGGCGGGATTCTAAATCTAGTATAATAATAAATAAAATTTAACGATGACATCATATAAATAGAACAGATATGTCCTTTTAAATCCCTCATCATATTTTCACTCTGAATATTATTTTTTTCTTATTATTAGTTCCTGATACTTAGAGAAACAATCAAAGCTGTATGGGCCATATATCTTGTTTTTCTTTCTGATCAAGGACGGTAACTCTCACCACTTTCAAGTAATTTCTGCTGTGGTTTTTCCATATAAACAAAGTTGAATTCTGGCTGAGGCCAGCAATGCAGTGAGTTGGCAAAGGAAAGAGATGATAGAATGATTGCAGCACTTTGATCTCAACTGGTAGATCTCATTTGTATGCCCACCTTTGAAGAACTCCATCTAAAAAAGAAGCCAAAATAATAGGGAATGTATTAAACTACAGCCTCTCTCCTTAATGCACATGTAATTGCAAAATAAAATCTGGAGAAACGTTCAAAATAATGGCCTCCATCCACAGGATGCCTCCTTTCCAATTCTGTTGCCCCAGCATAAGAAAACTCCTATTAGAATAGAATAATAACAGAGTTGGAAGGGACCTTGTAGGTCATGTAGTCCAACCCCTGCTCAAGCAGGAGAACCTATACCTTTTCTGACAAGTGGCTGTCCAGTCTCTTCTTGAAAGCTTCCAGTGATGAAGCATCCACAACTTCTGAAAGCAAGCTGTTCCATTGGTTGATTGTTGTCAGAAAATTTCTCTTAATTTCTAGGTTGAACCTCTTCTCGATCAGTTTCCATCCATTGTTCCTTGTGTGGCCTTTGGGTGCTTTGGAAAATAGATTGTTCCCCTTTTCTCTGTGACAGTCCCTCAAATATTGGAACACTACTATCATGTCACCCCTGGTCCTTCTCTTCACAAGTTCTTGTAACCATTCTTCATATGTTTTAATCGCCAGGCCCCTAATCATCTTTGTTGCTCTTCTCTGCACTCTTACTAGAGTCTCAACATCTTTCTTACAATGTGGTGACCAAAATTGGGATGCAGTATTGTAGGTGTGGTCTTACTAGAGCTTTATAGAGCTTGCACTTACCTTTCTACAGACAGGCAAACACAAGACCCAACTCACTCCAGATAAAAAAATTATTCCCAAGTCAGAAATATGAAAGGATTGAGATTAAAGTAAATAAGTATTGATTGCATGGAAATCAGTGAAAAAATGTCCCTTAATTTTAAAATATTAGCTTTGCCAACAGTTCCACATAACCTCCAGTTGGTGTAAAAACCAGGTAAATACATTACAGGTAGTCCTCAATGTACAACAGAAATGGGGCCTGCCCTTTATGGTCGTAAATCATAATGGTCGTAAAGTCGGTCATTTTGTGACTGGGCCCAATTTTACAACCTTTTTGTGGCAGTTATTAAGCAAATAGAATGTAGTCATTATGCAAACCCACTGTTTGCTATGGGGCGTTTTTGTTGAAAACGGAAGTAAACATTAGTTTTCGGTAAAAACATTGTAAATCACAGTCATATTACTGTAGGACATTGTAAACAGCTGTAAATGTGGGCCAGTTCTAATCACCTGAAATGTCATGTGACCAGTAGGTGGTGGGCCACACATCATACAATTATGACAGTGGGATACGTTATAACTTCAAACTGTTGCTAGCAACCAATCGTAAATCAGAGGCTACCTGCCTCCAGCTATTCAAGGCATCTAATGGCCTAAGAGCTCTAATTTGTTCTTCCAACAACTGCGAATCTTCATTTGGACAAGACAGATTAAGTAACAAATGCCTGACTTGAGTAAATTGCTAACCAGTAGTCTGAGGTAAACCAAACTAGCTTTTCAGTTATGAAATATATCTAGAAATGGCTTAGTCAGAATTGCATTGTTCCAAAGTAATAATATTACAAGAAGCCCAATTTATTACAAAACATTTACCTTCCATTTTAAGTTGTGTCCCTCTCATACTGTAAGCTTTTCCTGGATAACGCTAGCCAGTGTTCTCCATAGGCAGTTTGTGACATTACGTGCAGGGTTCAAAGTGATTCCAATACTTGCTAGGATTTAGATCAAATAGTAATGGATCAAGTAAAGTCTTACACTTAGGCAAGAAAAACCAAAAGTACACATACAGATTGGGTGAAACCAGGTTTAATAGCAGTAACTCTGAGAGGGATCTTGGAGTCTTAGTGGACGATCAATTAAATATGAGCCAACAGTGTGCAGCAGCAGCCAAAAAAAGCCAATGCAATCCTAAGCTGCATTAACAGAGGGATTCAATCAAGATCATGTGAGGTACTAATACTACTCTATAAAGCCTTAGTAAGACCACACCTAGAATACTGCAACCAATTTTGGTCTCCAAACTATAAAAAAGATGTTGAGACTCTAGAAAAAGTGCAGAGAAGAGCAACAAAGATGATTAGGAGACTGGAGGCTAAAACATGAAGAACCGTTACAGGAACTGGGCATGGCTACTCTAGTGAAGAGAAGGACCAGGGGAGACATGATAGCAGTGTTCCAATATTTGAGGGGCTGTCACAGAGAGGAGAGGGACAACCTATTTTCCAAAGCACCTGAAGGCCAGACAAGGAATAATGGATGGAAACTGATCAAGGAGAGATTCAACCTAGAAATAAGGAGAAATTTTCTGAACAATCCACCAATGGAACAGTTTGCCTCCACATGTTGTGGGAGTTTAATCACTGGAAGCTTTCAAGAGACTGGACTGCCATCTGTCAGAAATGGTGTAGGGCAGGGGTGTCAAACTGCCGGCCCACGGGCCGGTTTCATCATACCGGAGCCGCGCCCACTCCATTGCTGGCAACAGCAAAAAAACTCCGATACGTTGCGCAACGTCACGTGATGTCGCGAGTTTGACATGTGTGGTGTAGGGTCTCCTACTTGGGTGGGGGATTGGACTACATGACCTACAAGATCCCTTCCAACTCTGTTATTCTAATTTTAAGTGATAATGCTCAAGTCGAGTATATAGAGAAAGTAAATTCTGAAAGTCTCCTAATGCCATCACTATTGGCAGTTAAAATAAATGCTGAGTGATAAACCTTTCCCCAACAGGTAATTTTAATTTGTAAAGTGAAAATTCCCTGCCAAGGGAATCTGTTTTTATTTTGTTGTTGTTAGTTGCGAAGTCATATCTGACCCATCGCGACCCCATGGACAACGTTCCTCCAGGCCTTCCTGTCCTCTACCATCTTCTGGAGTTCATTTAAGCTCACTCCTACTGCTTCACTGACTCCCTCCAGCCACCTCATTCTCTGTCGTCCCCTTCTTCTATTGCCCTCATTCTTTCCCAGAATTAGGCTCTTCTCCAGTGAGTCCTTCCTTCTCATTAGGTGGCCAAAGTATTTGAGTTTCAACTTCAGGATCTGGCCTTCTAAAGAGAAGTCAGGGTTGATCTCTTCTAGGATTGACCGGTTTGAACGCCTTGCAGTCCAGGGGACTCGCAGGAGTCTTCTCCAGCACCATAGTTCAAAGGCTTCAATTCTTTGGCGCTCAGCCTTTCTTATGGTCCAACTTTCACAGCCATACATTGCAACTGGGAAAACCATGGCCTTGACCATACGCATTTTTGTTGGCAGGGTGATGTCTCTGCTTTTTAGTACAGGAAATAGTTATTTATGCATCCTCTAAATACGAATGTGTTGTACCCTGGTTAGCTTTTGGAGAGTTATTTTAAATTTTATCAAAATAGTCTATGATTTTTAAAGGAGGCTAATAGAGGAAAAAGTATTTTACGTATACCAGATATCTCACATAAAATTGATTTAAAAGTTCTCATAATTGTTTTGCTCTTGACAATGCAGTTTAGGAGTTGGAACATGAATATGTCCTATTATTGCCACATTCTTGGTAAGCATTAATATGGCTCTAGTTTTATCATTATATGTTAAAAATAAAATCGTGGCTGTACCCCATATCAACAAGACAATAAGAATTGTGGACTTTTTGAGCGTAGCAAAAGGGGAAATCTACACCTGATCTACAGGAATGAATTGTTAATATACTGTATATCTTACTAGCGTTTATTTATTTGTTACACTGGGCCAGAGAAGGCATTTAAACAATAGGGACAAATTTTTGTAGAGTTGTGTTTATGATATAATTTTCCAGTCTTCTTTTTATCACGATGACTAATGTTGATATCATAATATATTATTATTGTTCTTCCCTTCCCACAGCCTGGAAAGGAGAGCCGCCTGTTACCCTTCCTGGTGATTATCCGTGTGATTTTCATTCCCCTCTTCATGCTGTGTAACGTGCCGGACCGCCGGAACCTGCCTGTCATCTTTGCTCACGATGCCTGGTACCTCACCTTCATGCTGTTATTCTCCTTCTCCAATGGTTACTTGGCCAGCCTCTGCATGTGCTTTGGACCCAAGTAAGTGTGGCTTGAGATGAAGGAATTGCCAAGAAGGAAAAGCAACTGATATTTGGATGGCTGGTTGTTAACGCTGAGCTGACTAGTTTTTATTTTTTCCTTCTAGGAAAGTGCTATCTCATGAAGCAGAAACTGCTGGAGCCATCATGGCCTTCTTCCTCTCCTTGGGTCTGGCTTTAGGAGCCGTCTTATCCTTTCCACTCAAATACGCAATTTAATGGGGCATCTCTGGGCAGAGGAAGCAGTAGAGTCACAGTACTATTGCCTGGTTCCTGGGAACTTGTTGCCTTAATACCTCTTGGCTTGGAGGAGGGCTTCTCTCTCACTGACAAGATGGCCTGGCTTCTCCTTGGGTATAAGACCTCCCCCTTCACATACACACACACACACACACACACACATACATACACACACACGCATATAAACTTTACCAGTGCCAGCTATGAATGATTTACATTGTCTCGATGTGTTCTGCTTCATTGTGTGTAGCAAAAGAATCCTTCCCCATCCACCTTCCAGCTTTTCAGCTGCTCCTGTGAACTTGTTGAGTGTGCTCACATTAGTGTCTACTCTACCCTCAAAAGCCAAGTGATTGAAAAAGCTGCTGCGCCCCCAAAATGCTCTTCATTAAATGACCTGCCCTCCATGGAGTAGGATTTCTCCTCTTCAGCTGCATGTTCAAGCTTCTAAACTCCATGGTTTGTGGACATCAGAATTAGGCAAGAACTTCAACAGCTATCCCTTCCAGATGGGGTGATGGAAAGTGGACCGTGGCTATTCCCACACCTTAAGTAGTTTGGACAACAACAAGCAGGGCCATGAAGTACTGGTTACTTTGAAAATTGAAGTGTATTGTATACAGACTGAATATGCCCCATCTTCTGAAGGCTCACCTTGTCTCCTTTCCAAGATTTTGCATGATCTGGCTCTAGGTTGCAGTGGTAGATGAGCTCATGAACTCTTCAGCATAGTACAAATGATAAAATGGATCGTTCCCGAATCCAGCTGTTCGGAGCCCCTGCAGTTTTCTGTGCTTCTTCATGAATTTATGAAACTCAGGATTTGCGTATTTGAACTCTTGTTTAAAAATGGCGAAGTTATTTTTTTTTAAAGAGAAAGGTAACAAATAAAGAATGGGGGGGGGTTGTAAAGTTTGAAGCCATAATGTTACCTTGTATTTAAATTATTTAGTATTGTTAATTATAAAAGTCCATTTCATATGGGAATACAGCAAAGACCAATCACATTAGAAAATAGTGATTCACTCAGATCATGTTCAACATCCTAAAATCTGTTTGCCTGTCCTTAAAAGGGTACTGACTTTTTTTGTGAACGAAAAATGAAACTAGAGCGCCATCTATTGGTCATCTTTTATATTTTGCCATCTGGGTGTCAGAACCCTGTCTTTCTATGGGCATAGGGCTTTTTGTTCTTTTTCGGGTTCTGCCATTTCTCTAGGGGGGAGGGGGGAGCTTGGGGTTGATGCAGTGTATTTCCTTTGCTTTGTTCCTTGCTCCATCCTCTTCGATGTTTCTTTCTCGGGGTGAGAATGGAATGTCCCTCCGGCCATCTGCCTTATCTCTGGAGGCACAGAGACCTAACAGCCTTGGAAGTGGCACCTTACTGCTCCGTTCCCACAACATTTTCACACCTGTGGATTGGCCCATTTGAACTATCCAGATGGACAGTTGGGGTGGGGTTTTCACTGACTCTTTTGACTTATTGGTTCGCACGGGAAATCCTCAGATCCTGCCTTCTGTAACTGCTGTCAACACCTTCCAATAAAAGTTCCTTTTGAAATGATGTCCATTTCAAGAGTTCTGCTTTCTTAGGAGGACTGATTGAGGCAGATCCTTACAGTGGCTTATAATGATACAGATCGTCTCAACCTAGGAATATTAGTTTAATGATGATTTGAAGTTATGATGGCCTTGGAAAAAGTGGCTTATGATTGGTCCACAAAATTAGAACTATTGCACCTGCATGCATATCTCCCTGTAGTCATGTGATCACAGTTTAAGCACTTGGCAACTGGCTTGTACTTATGACAGTTGCAGTGTCTTGGAATTATATGACTTTCCCAGCTAGCTTCCAATAAGCAAAGTCAATTGGGGAATCCAAATTTGTTTAAAGACCATGTGATTCACTTAATAACTACAGTAAAAAGAGTCATAAAATTAAGTCTGGTCACTCGCTTAGTGACTGCATTGCTTAGCGACCAAAATTCAGGTGCTAATTGTAGTTGTAAGTCAAGGACTACCTGTATATTTATGTATAAAAAGGCAAAATACATCAGGCCTTTTGAAAAAGCCTCTGCAAAGCATTTAAATTGTGTGATATCCCCGAATAGCAAGGAGTATAATGCTCCTTTATTTGTTGCTCGGTGGTTTGAATTAAGGCAGCAGTTTTATTATTGGGTTCTGAAGTATGTACAGCTAAGCAGAAAGTTGGAAATTTCAAATAAAATGCAGAATATCTCTGATAGGCTCACAGTCAACTTTTCTAAGCACTAAAAATGTAGAACGACATCAGTTGTTGGAATTATGGATCTTTTCTACTTCTTCAGTGCTGAGACATAATCCTGCATCTTTTTTAAAGCATTTAATGGAATATTTAAGAAGCAATTACATCTTGCAGCCTTATTTGCCTTACAGAGAAGTTATGAAAAGTGTTCACATAATGATGACTGGTCCTTTGATTATTTTATTAGCCACAAGCATTATTGTTTTTCCTGCATAGCATATAAAGGGCATTATTTCTGCAATAACACAGTGATACCCATGAAAATAAGCTAGCTAGTTGGAACCCTATGAATTTCTTTAATGCAATTTTTGGGCTTAATTTGGAGGAGGGTATATTGATGTAAACAAGAATATAATAAATTATATAGATAGGATAGGATAGAATAGAATAGAATTCTTTATTGGCCATGTGTGGTTGGACACACAAGGAATTTGTTTCCGATGCATAAGCGCTCAGTGTACATGAAAGTAATAGTAATAATCATGATCATATACAACATGAAAATACATTCATCATAAATCGTAAAATACAACACTTCATCATAAATCATAAGATGCAACACTTAGTGATAGTCATAGAGTACTACCTAAGCAAACAACATAAATCATACTAGGGTACAAAAAAAAATCCAATATAAATTGTAAGATACAAGCAGCAAAGTTATAGTCATGAGAAGATAAGGATAGGTAATAGGAAAGATGAGTATCATAGTAATAAAGCTTTACTAAGTATTTTGACAGTGTTGTAGGAATTAGTTGTTAAGCAGAGTGACGGCATGGGGGGAAAAACTGTCCTTGTGTCTAGTTGTTCTGGTGTGCAATGCCTCTAGTTGTTCTGGTGTGCAATAGCGTCATCTTGAGGGAAGAAGTTGAAATAGTTTATGTCCAGGATGTGAGGGGTCTGTAGATATTTTCACAGCTACAGGTCCTCAATGGAATGCAGGCTGGCAGCAGTTGTTTTTTCTGCAGTTCTAACTATTTGTTGAAGTCTGTGTTTGTCTTGTTTGGTTGCAGTGCCAAACCAGACAGTTATAGAGGTGCAAATGACAGACTCAATAATTATTTTGTAGAACTGTATCAGCAGCTCCTTGGGCAGTCTGAGTTTTCTGAGTTGGCGCAGGAAGAACATTCTTTGTTGTGCTTTTTTGATTACATTGTTGACGTTAGGTGTCCATTTTAAATCTTGAGATATTATAGAACCTAGAAACTTGAAGGTGTCTACTGTTGATACTGTGTTGTTTAGTATTGTAAGAGGTTGTAGGGTTTCTCCTAAAGTCTATTGTCATTTCCACAGTTTTGAGTGTGTTCAGTTCAAGATTGTTCCAGCTACACCACAAGGCTAGTTGTTCGACCTCCCATCTGTATGCCGATTTGTTGTTGTCTCGAATGAAGCCAATCACTATTGTATCATCTGCAAACTTCAGTACTTTAACAGAAGGATCTTTTGATATGCAATCATCGGTATATAGAGAGGAGAGAGCAAACAGCCCTTGGGGGCCCCTGTGCTAACTGTACAGGTATCTGATGTGATTTTTGACTAGCTTCACTTGCTGCTTCCTGTCTGTTAGAAAGCTTATGATCTACTTACAGGTGTGGTCAGACACGGCTAGCTGATTTAGTTTAGTGAGAAGAATGTCTGGAATGATGGTATTGAAATCTACAAAAAGCACCCTTGCATAGATCTTTGGAGATTCAAGATGTTGTAGAATGTAGTGCAGAGCCATATTAACAGCATCATCTGCTGACCTATTTGTTCGGTGGGCAAACTGCAAGGGGTCTAATAGCGGATCTGTGATGTTTTTCAGGTGGGCCACCACTAGCCTTTCAAAGGCTTTCATAACTACGGATGTCAGAGCAACCGGTCTGTAGTCATTCAGTTCTTTGATGGAGGGTTTCTTTGGCCCTGGGATGATAGTAGAACATTTGAAGCAAGAAGGAACATAGGAACATCTCTTGTGATTTATTAAAGATTCGGGTGAAGATGGGGACCAATTGATCAGCACAAGCTTTCAAGCAAGAAGGAGTTATCTTGTCTGGGTGCTGATGCTTTTCCAGGCTTTTGTCTGTGAAATAGATCTTGCACATCATTCTCTGTGGGGGGCCCAAGGGGATGGGGTCAGTTGTAGGAGATATGGTTATCTCACAAGTTCACCTATCCCCGGGGGTTCCCAGACCTGTTGCCATAACCAGGTCTTGAGGGAGCTTGACTCTTTTAGCCATAAAATTCCACTATTATATGATAGCGAACTTAAATGTGAGTTTGGTTTAACTGTTTCCTCTCGGTTTATCCAACTAAAATATTTGGAATCTAGAATATTGATCCTGATGCCATTGCTAACTCACTGCTCATTCCAGAAGTTCGGTTCTGAGCGGCTCAAGGTTGACTCAGCCTTTCATCCTTCCGAGGTCGGTAAAATGAGGACCCTGATTGTTGGGGGCAATATGCTGACTCTATAAACTGCTTAGAGAAGGCTGGAAAGCACTGAAACAGTATGTAAGTCTAAGTGCTATTGCTACTTCACAAGTTCCCCGCCTGTTAAAGATTTTGCAGAGTGCTGAAATCAGAAAACTGGCACAAAGTTCCTTTTCCTATCATCTTGGCAAGAGAGAAAGGGGGGAGAAAAGCTGTTCCCTCCCTCTTCTCCCCACTTTTCATGCTCATCATTGCAACCTTCCTTGGTTCTTCCTCTTCCACTTGGTATCAGCAGTGAAATATGCAACAATCCTCTACTTAAAAGTGTGGCATGGCAGACTTTGACAGTCTTTAACACATTCAGGTTGCCCAAATGAGAGGCTACTACTGTAGAAATACTCCACAGTGGTAACTTGTTGCTTGAGCTGTTGCTGAACCTGGATCTCCTGGTCTTCTGAAAGCCCAAATGACAGAAGACCAGTACACCTAGGCCCAGAAACTGCCTAGCTGGTGGAGTAGAGCTCCTAGCAGTCCACCAGCCTACTGAGGTCTTTTGGATAGCACTTTATTGGGCTTAAAAGGTTTATTCTACCCTTACCATAACCCTACTAAGGGATAATCAACCATATGTGGCTGCAGCATTTAATAGTATCTCATGGAGTAAGCAAAATAGCATCAGGTAGTCAAAATGACATCTCTTCAATGCCTTTACATGACAAGCAGTTCAAAACTGCTATCAGGTTATCTGCTCTGCTAGATGAATTTCTTGCAAAGAATAGAGTAGAATAAGAATTAGAAAAAGAATAAGAATAAGAATTAGAAAAAGAATAGAATTAGAAAAAGATTAGAATAAGAATAAGAAAATTAATAGAATAGAATAGAATAGAACAGAACAGAACAGAACATGGAAGGGACCTTGGAGGTCTCCAGCTCCCTGTTCAAGCAGGAGAACCTATAATATTTAGTGTCATGGTGATACCATGCCCATATAGCACGGGTGTCAAACTCGCCATATCACGTGACGTGTCACAACGTATTGCGACTTTTTGTATTGCCGGCAATGGGGTGAGCATGGCTTCGGTATGATGAAACCGGCCCACGGACCGGCAGTTTGACACCCCTGCATAGGAACTGGTTTCCAAAATACTGGTTTCAGAGGCCCTGTGAGTCCCAAGACATATCTTGGAAAGCATGAGGAGTTGCCTGAAGAGGCCCAGCACCAATGCAAAATAGCCACAGAAGGCAGTTAGCAAAGGAAGAGAATGAGGTCCGGCCGCAGTTGTCTTCTAGTCCGGAGTATCTTTTCCCTTTATAATAGTGTGGTTATTTCCTCTGCTTCAGGACTGGAATATCAGCAGTCGGATGTTCCTGCCTTTGCCTCCAAGAGAGTGGATTTCACCCAGTTTTAATTTTTAACCCAGCAGCCCAGTCAGACTAGCTTGTTTACCTACTGAAATAGCTTTTCCTGCTACCATTAAATTGCAATAAAGAGCCCTATTCCAGAGGGCATCTGGCCACACTAATGAGGCATGCAATCAGGAGAATCCAGGATACTTAACAAATAGGCATACGACGGTTGCCAACCACTATGTTTCAAGCAGAATTTAATTGGCATATTTTCACTTCCAGGACATGTAGCATCTCAGGATAGGCCAGGGGTAGGCAGCCTTGGCTCTTTTATGACTCGTGGACTTCAACTCCCAGAATTCCTGAGCCAGCCATGCTGGCTCAGGAATTCTGGGAGTTGAAGTCCACGAGTCATAAAAGAGCCAAGGTTGCCTACCCCTGGGATAGGCTGAGCAACCTTTTACAGTTCAGAGGAAAAGGCCAGAGTGCTGTGATTT